AAAAAAAAAAAAAAAAAAAAAAAAAAAGAAAACATGAAAAGAATTTGGCCCAATATTGATGGCAGTACGTATCTATTTTTTATGGAGGCAAAACAGGTCTTATCTAGTTAGATCAGATCCTCCAATTCTTGTTTGGGATTTTACAGAAACTTATATGTCTTTATTAAGCAGCAATTAAATGAAAACCTCCCCAGCCTAAGTACAGTGGTCCCCTCCTCTCAATAATACACAATTCAAGATTCTTTTCCGACCTCACCTTTTTGGCTTGTCTGCTTTGTGCACATAAAAGACCTGTGTAGTTTATCTTCAAGCGAAAAGGATCTGATTTAACTGCATAATAATCCCAAAAATATATATATATAAAATGAAAAAGAAAGAATTATATGAAACTTATTCACCAAATATATATAATTTGTTAGATGATATAAAGCTTATACATGATTATGATTTATGATTTATGTAATTGGAGAATCAGCCAATTATGTAACATGCTAGGTATGTATGTCAATTTAGTTTCCCAGTTATATGTTTGTAGGATTTTTTCCATCATATTTTAGATTTTATTCCATCAAATTTGTAACAAGACATGAATTAGATGATGATGTTTGAAGTCTAATCCACATGTGAGTCATGTGGGGGAAAATGCTGACCTGATTATATATATCTGGTTTAACTAATTCGATCAGACATCACATTTTCTAATTTCATTTTTTTCACTCCACTTTATTTATTCACAAATTTTGTATCATATATAAATCCTATTTGTATAAAAATGTTAATTCTTAGGCAGAATTTTCTAAACAATAATACATGCGTTTACTGTGAAACTTAATACTTTAATCTATGTTGTTGTCGTTTAGAATACAGACATTTTAGTTTGAAAATATACATGTTTATTCAAAAAATTTAAGACATTAATATAGTTTGAATATATGTATGTTTATTATTGAAAAAAAAAATAAAAAAAAAATATAGCAGCCTAATAACCTGTATCAATCTGTTATTTATTTTGTTTCTATTTTTGTTTTTTAAATTCATGAATTTTGAAGCATGAAAATGAACACAAACAAGTAACACACATAGAGTGAGACAACAGAAGATTATTATATCCTACATATCATAGTAAAAAAACATATAACAAAAACTAAAATAAAGATCTCATACATTCAGCATCCTCAGAATCAGTTGATAACAAGCAGTCCACAAACTTTCAATAAGAATTTTTCAAGTTATATTCAGGCTCAGGGCTTGAAAAAGCCAAGGAGAACTGTTTAACCTATCTTTATTAGCCAATACCGGCATTTCCGGGCCCTTCATGTGGCCCGATCCGGAGGATGAAGACGAGAAACTCGGCCCGGAGTCCGACCCAAGGCCCGGCCCAGCTGCTTTGATTTTCTTGGTATAATAGCTTTTTGGGCCTAAAGTCAACTCAAGGTCATTTTGGTCATCTTCACCTTCAGAAACTCTGAGCATATCACCCGAGCCCGCGGGCCTTTCCAGGTCGAGACACAAACGGGCCTCGGGCCGTCTGCAAGTCGTCGTGTACCGATTATTTTTCGCTATGTCATTCATTAGCACCTTTTGGATTCGGTAGAGTCGATGAAGCTCATACACCTACGAAAAAACGAAATTACATAAGTATATTGAGTTACAAATTAGAAAATCTTGATCAATTGCTATGAATTTAAGGAAAATTCTAGCGTTGACCGAAAATTTAATTTTATTTATATTTTGATTATCATCGTACCTGGTCTCGAAATGTTTCCTCGTGCTTTAACATAGCCATTTTCAAGTACTCTTTGTCGTAATTGTTCAAAAGCTTCTCCATTGTAAAACAATTGTTTGTGCTATAATTTTATTAGATAAGGAATCCTCTTTTGGTGCCTGCAGGAAGAAAATTGGCAGAAATTAGAAGGGATTGTAAGTTTTATAACAGAAAAATAGTACCACAATAATAAAGACAGTCATGAAAAGTATCGTACAAAGAAGGCCATGGATGTGAAAAGGCACATGTTCTTTT